GGTCAGGTATGGTGGCTGATGCCTGCATTCCCAGCACTTTGGGAGGCTGAGGCTAGAGATCACTTGAGACCAGGAGTTTGAGACCAGCTTGGGCAAAATAGCGAGATCCCTGTCTCTACAAAAAAATTTAAAGATTAGCCAGCTGTGGTGCTGTGCACCTGTAGTCCCAGCTACTTGGGAGGCTGGGGCAGGAATATCACTTGAGCCTAGGAATTCTCAGTTGCGGTGAGCTATGATTGCATCACTGCACTCCAGCCTGTGCCACAGAGTGAGACCTTGTCTCAAAAAAAAAAAAAAAAAAAAAATCATCCAAGGTACGTGTTTTTATTATACCCATTTTATAGTGGGGTAAAGAAACTGAGGTATGGAGAGGCTAAATGACTTGCCTAAGGTCACACACAGGTAACTGGCAGAGCAGGGATTTGAACTTGAGCAACGTGGCCCTGGAGCCCATTATGCTATTCTGCCAATTGATGCTGTAGGGGAGAGAGGCGTTGCTTCTGCCTGGGGTTTTGCAGGACGTGTAGGAGTTGTACAGTACAAAATGCCAGAACGCCTTGCCAGTCACATAAAGGCCAGAGACTGAATAGCTGTGCGGTTCATCAGACACAATTTGTCTTTCCTACCAATGGCAAACCACAGGCTGCAATGGACTTGGCAATATTCAACCCTGGGAGCCAGGACGAGGTACAGAATTTGTAAAATTTTGCAAAATGAAAATGCTGGCTGAGCGCAGTGGTTCACACCTGGAATCCCAGCACTTTGGGAGGCTGAGGCAGGCAGATCACGTGAGGTCAGGCGTTCGAGGCCAGCCTCACCAACATGGTGAAATCCCATCTCTACCAAAAATATAAGAATTACCCAGGCATAGTGGCAGGCACCTGTAGTTCCAGCTACTTGGGAGGCTGAGGCAGGAGAATCACTTGAACCCGGGAGGTAGAGGTTGCAGTGAGCCAACATCACGCACTGTACTCCAGCCGGGCAATAGAGCAAGACTCAGTCTCAAAAGAAAAGAAAAGAAAATGCAGAAGCTTTATAAAGAATTATGAAGAATTTCCAGATGACAACATTAGAATATTAAATCAAGCACAGGGTGGTCCCTGTAAGACTGTACAGGTCCCACTGATGAAGCCAGCCTGGATGAGGGGTTAAGTGGCCATTGGGTGGTTCCTCCCAGCCGCTGGGGCTGGACTGATTAAAAGGAATTGGCATGGGGGTAATTACAAGGCCAGGAGGCCATATTTGGTCATGAGCCCGGTCCTTCTCTGGGAAGACGGAGAGGAAGACACAAGAAAGGAGTTTAGGGTGCTCAGACCAGGAAAGCATCTTCACCCCTAGAGGTGGGGGTCAGAAAAGCCAAGTTATGAATGTTTCTGGACCAACTCAGAGCATATCAACCTTCAGACGCCCACGAGCCTGGAGCTTGGGATGTTTTATTTGGCAGAACCTCCCAGGGCAATTTGTTTTTCTCAACAGAACTTGGAAACAGTGGAGCCCAGCAGCTACATGGGAAGGGGTAGAATCCCAGAGTTTACGTCCCACTCCCTATCCCGGGCAAAGTGGAAGACCATACCCATGGACGGGGCATGTTGATGTCTTTGGTTTTTTGTTTGTTTGTTTGTTTTTTGAGATGGAGTCTCATTCTATTGCCCAGGCTGGAGTGCAGTGGCACAATCTCAGCTCACTGTAATCTCTGCCTCCTGGGTTCAAGCGATTCTTCTGCCTCAGCCGCCACCTGCCCCACCAAGTAGCTGGGATTACAGGCGCACACCACCACACCCGGCTAATTTTTGTATTTTTAGTAGCGACAGGGTTTCACCATGTTGGCCAGGCTGGTCTTGAACCCCTGACCTCAAGTGATCCACCTGTCTCAGCCTTCCAAAGTGCTGGGATGACAACCGTGAGCCACCACACCCAGTGATGTCTTTGTTGTAAAAGGGAGGAGGTGAGGGGGGAGGTTCAAGGCCAGAGTGGAAAGGAAGGAATTGTGGGAAAGAAGGGAGCACCAGCAGTCTAGGAACACTGGTGTGTCGGCATAAAGAGTGTGTTTCACACGTGTTGTTTGTGCACACTGCTGTCCTGATTCTTGTCTTGGATCTGAATAGGTTCATGACCGCCTACGCAAGTGGTTTCCTACATCCAAAAGTTTCTCTACTTTCTCTTGCTTGAATAAGAATCCATCCCCTTCACTTTAGAATGAAGTCTAGCAAAGTTCTGACGTTAGCCTGATTGAAGTAATTCATACTTAGGTGTGAATGACTGAGTGGCTTGATTCATTGGTTAGGGCAAGTAAAGACTGCTGGAATATATGGCAGAACTCTGATGGAGTGGTGCTGGGACTTCACTCTGTCTTTTCTCTTTGCTGATTTGTTAAAATAAAAGGGTAGGAGGCAGAACATGGGCCCTGGTGTCAAGGGGACCTAAGTTCAAATCCTGCTTCTCCTCCATTTCCTATCTGTGTGAAAGCAAGAGCAATTGTGGGCTGGAGCAATTTACTTCAACCTCTCTTTGCCTCATTTTCCCCAGGTGGGTGGTGGGGATAATCAATAACTCTCTCATTAGATTGCTGGGCAGAGTAAATGAAAGATTTGTGAGCCCAAAGCCTAGTACTGTGTAGGCCTTCAACAAACATCAATTCCCCTTCCCCTGTCCTTCTTCTGGCCTTAGAAAGCAAGTCCCTAGAGGGTTGGGCCTGTGTCATGGAACAACTTGGTGAAATGTAGGAAAAGGAATTCTGATTGCATTAGAATCAGAGACCTGACTTTCCATTCCGACTGTATCCCTTCTTTGCTGTGTGACCTAGGGAAAATTGCTTACCCACTCTGTGCAAGACTCCTCCTTCTATAACAACATGGAGGCAGGAAGAGGATAAAGGAAATAATTCATGTAGAGCAATTAGCAAAGGACCCTTCCCTCTATATGCCCCCAATGACAAATGCCAATTCTTCTCTCTCTTAAGAGATGGGATCTTGCTATGTTGCCCAGGCTTCTTTCAAACTCCTGGCCTCAAGTGATCCTCCCAACTCAGCCTCCTGAGTAGCTGCGATTATAAACGTGGCCAATTCTCTGCTGCACCTGGCCAGTTCTCCTCTTTTACATACACACACACACACACACACACACACACACACACACACATATATACATACATTCTGGTCTTAGTTTCCCCTTCTGGGGATATAGGGTAATACTTTCATGGTTCCCATTTCATATACTGCCTCCGAGGCCATGTGAAACAATGTGGCCACTGGGAAGGAAGGCCTCTAGGAAGGGAAGGGACCGCACAAAGTCACTGCAAGATGTTCCATCATTCTTGGCCATCAGAGACTTGATTTCTGGACAGTGGGACCTGTAGGATTAGGCTCAGCAATTTGGGCCACTTCTTTTTTTTCCTTTCCCCCTTTCTTTTTTCTTTCCTTCTATTTCTTTTTTAAGCCATGAGCCAAGTTATTAATGGGCCCTTGGCAGAGAAAATTAATTTCTTTACTTCCTAATTAGGAAGAAGAGCAGAGACTGTACTAGCTGTGGTGGCACTGGTTCAGCACAGAGAACCTTGGGCCGACCTTGGGGTGAACAAATTCTTTTCTCAACTTAAAAAAAAACTCTTATATTTTAGAGTATTAAGTGAGCTTAGAAAATGAGAGAGATGAGGCAAAGAAAGAAAACACAAAAAACAAAAGTAAACTGAAAAAATAGGAGAAGACAATAAACAACTGAAGTTTTGGTCAAGGCACTGTCCTTATCTTTCACTAGGAGTGGTGGGACATAGAGGCGGTATCTAGATGGAGCCATTCCATTGTGATTATTTCTGATGGCCACAACGGGTAGCTAGTTCATGAAGACCATCTTGGTAAAAAAAAAAAAAAAAAAAAAATCTACCTTCATATTCCAGGAGTACACACTTTTTTGATAAGACAAACCATGTCATACTGATCTAAACCCATCAGTCATTTACACTTTAGTGTGAATTACTTCAACTGGGCTTATCCTTAGATACTTGGCTGAGATCATCAGCTAGCCTCCTGATACACGGGGTGGGATTCCTCAGAAGATAAAGGGGCTTGCCTCTGCTCAGTGATCAATGGGGTAACCAGTGTTTTGGTAAATTTTTCTTTCCATAAGGGAGCTTCTTAAACTTTAGGTCCTGGTACTCCAGAGGCACTTAAGTCCTTTCTTGAAGGCTGCCTTGTGCCTGGTCTTTCCATTTCTAGCAATGCTAATGATGTCTTAAAAGTAGACAGTTCCAAATAAACCTGTTTGGACCCTTGTAGGAAAACTAAGGTGTTCTTTTTCACCCTATTTTTTAAAAGATGAGGTCTTGCTCTGTCACCCAGGCTGGAGTGCATTGTGGTGAGATCATGGCTCACTGCAGCCTCAAACTCCTGGACTCAGGCCATCCTCCCACCTCAGCCTCTTGAGTTGCTGGGACTACAGGCATGCACCACCATGCCTGGTTAATTTTTCTTATTTTTTATAGAGTCAGGGTTTTGCTGTATTGCTCACACTGGTCTTGAATTCCTGGACTTGAGTGATCCTCCTGCCTCAACTTCCCCAATAGCTGGGACTACAGGCATGTGCCACCATGCCTGGCTAATTTTTAAAATTTTTTGTAGAGGCATTGTCTCTCTGTGTTGCTGAGGCTGGTCTCAGACTCCTGGGCTCAAATGGTCCTCCCACCTCAGCCTCCCGAAGTGCTGGGATCACAGGCATGAGCCACCACGCCCAGCCCACCTTTTCACTCTTTGTATCTGAATTCTTTTGTATGTCCTCTTGGAAGGAATAGATTGGGCATTGGACCTAGGTTGGGGACCCAGTTCAGCTCACTACCAGAGATGTGACCTTGAGCAAGTTACTTCCCCTCTGGGAGCCTCCGTTTCACCCTCTGGGAAATGGTGGTGATGATCATTATCGTCCTGCCTGGCTCATGGAGCTGCGAAAAGGTCACCATGGAACGTGTGCATAGATGATGTCCACTGGGTCACTGTTCCTGTGTCTTTCAGAGGCGAGTCTGGAGCCGGGAAAACCGAAAACACCAAGAAGGTCATTCAGTACCTGGCCGTGGTGGCCTCCTCCCACAAGGGCAAGAAAGACACAAGCATCACGGTGAGTGGCAGTTCCCAATCAGAGACCATGATTTAACCAACCGGTCTCCAGCTTGCAGCGCAACCGAGATACAAACAGAACATCGCTGCAAGAACTCAGGGCCTGTCTGACTCCCCCTCCCCTGAAGACTCAAAGAGGGACCATCTTTTTGGCGAGCAGGCCTGTTGAGTATGGGTGATTTCTTGGTTCAGCTGGAAGCATCTCTCCAGAAGGGGGCCCGTTTTGTGAAATGAGAATAAGCCCTTTCCTTCCGCAGTGAGATCTTCCTTCACGTCGGGACTTCTCAGTGGTGGCACTGATGTCATTTTGGACCAGATAACTCTTTCTTGGAGGGACCTCCCCGTGCCTTGTACAATATTTCACGACATCCCTGGCCTCGACCCACTAGATGCAGATAGCCCCCTTCCCTCCAGTTGTGACAACCAAAAATATCTGTAGACTTATCAGATGTCCCCTGGGGTGGGACAGTTGCCCTAGACTGAGAATCACTCCTTTCAGTGAATCTCTGTAAAGTCCTAGGGGTTAAGGTACCTTTTGGGTGCCCTGATTCCTCCACGTGTCCCCATGCCTGGGATGGAGATGCTGGTATCACTCGGTCCAGGGACTTCAGTGCGATGCCAGTCAGTAACTGTGGATGGAGCACCTACTGTGTGCCAGGCACCACTTGGGGTGGGGGCCTGGGGATAAGTCTGAGAGATGCTGTTACTCTCTTCTGTGGGCTTCTGGACCTGTGGAAGAGCATGTAGTTGTCAAATAATCCCAGAAATAAACAGACGATGACACAGTATGACTAATGATGACACAGTATGACTAAGAGCTTCGGAGGAAAAGAAGAAGACGTTTCTAGGGTCACCCCCTCTAGGGCCCATCCTTCTCTTCCTCCTCGTGTGTCAGCCCCATCCCATCTGTCCCACAGGAGGGGGCACGCGGTGGGGCCGCCAGGACTGGCCAGCACCTCCGTCTGCAGGTTCGCAGGCGGGAAGATGGTAGGATGGAGATCTGACCACGGTGTGGGGGTCTCTCCAGTGTTCGCCATTCCGGATGTCGCTTTAGGCCCTCAGAGGGGACTCTGGGGCAGCCACCATGGCCGGCTTGTCCAGAAGCCCTTGGAGATCTGGAATGGGCGCTGGTTGTGGCTTTGGAGAACTTTCCTTCTCCGAACAAATGCAGGAAACTCAAGATTCAGCATCCTAGAGTTGTCTCTGGCAAGTTGGTTTCTAGCCATAGTGAGTGGGAACAACGGCTCCAAAGGCTGCGTGGCAGTAAAAATACGGTTTCCACTGCCTTCCCTTTCCCCAAAGAGTGAAAATAGGACACAATACTTTCTAACAACTCATCTTTATCAAGGGCCTAGTATGTGCTACTTGTTTTGGTTGCATGTGTAAACACATCTCAGGCATTGTCTCACTGGATACTGTTTTAAGGAGCCTAATGTGACCCCAGTAATTATGAAAACCTTTGAAATGTCTGGATCTCTAAGAAATTAGAAAAAGGAGGGAATGGCTGAGCATGGGGGCTCATGACTGTAATCTCAGTGCTTTGGGAGGCGAAGGCGGGAGGATGGTCTGAGTTCAGGAGTTCAGGACCAGTCTGGGTGACATAGTGAGACCCTGTCTGTACAAAAAAAAAAAAAAAAAATGGAATTAGCCAGGCATGGTGTGCATGCCTGTAGTCTTAGCTACTTGGGAGGCTGAGGCAGGAGGATCGCCTGAGCCCAGGAGGTTGAGACTGCAGTAAGCTGTGATCACATCCCTGCAGCTAAACAGAGAGAAAAGAAACAGTATCAAGGAAAACGAGCTGACCTGTCTGTCTTGGGGACTCTAGGCTGTTTGGGGGGATCAAAGTCATATATTCTCCAGCCCCTGATGTCCATGTGATGGAAATAACACTGACATTTGTTTTATACTGTGTTGTTCAACCACAGCAAGGCCCATCTTTTGCCTACGTGAGTAACTGAGAGTGTTTTCCTGGTGTGTAGGGGAGGCACGGAGTGAATTTAGATCTGCATGATCCTGTTGCACCCACCAAGTCCCATAGCTGGTGGTAGAAATGGGGTAGGCCCTGGAGTTTCACAACTCAAACAAGTAAATGCACCAAGATACCATCCTGTGGGTGTCTGAGCCAGGGCAGGGTGTTGGGGTGCATTTACCACCCACTGGACTCCTACTGGAATCCCCAGAGTTGCGCTTCAGCCTGAAATGGATTTCTCCAGTTCAGAATGAACCCCTGCACCCTTCAAAGCATCCACTCCTGGTAGCCCTGACTGGAACAACCTAGACAGAGACGTCTGTCCCATCTGGCTGAGTGTCTTAGGACTGTCAGGCACCAAAGCTTCCCTGGCTCCATAGACAGTCAATGGCACAGCTGTGGCATGCCTCCCTCTTCTCTCCCCGCCATCATCCCTAAGTTTCTTCCCCCAGCCCTGTCCCTGGTGCACCAGTGTGTCCCTGTGCATGCGTGTGCAGTGCGTGTCTGTCTCTTGCATGCTGGTTGCTTGACTCAAGCCTCCAGAAACCGTCCTGGAGGTTGCGATGCACTAGCTTTGGTGGCGCGGTAAGGCCCCAGCTACGCAACGCATAACCTGGTCCTGCTTGGACCTGTGCATATGAACTCATCTCTAACGCAGAGCTTGGGGGGCTGACATGTGGGTCCCAGCCTAGAAGAAACCCACAGGTGTCTTGCTCGGCTCCCAAAAAGATCATTCAATCCATCTTAGTTAGACCCCGGGTGACAGTGTTGCAGATCAGAAGGAGAAGTACAGTTCTTATTTGGGATCTGCTGTAGTGTGACCTTGGCCGAGTCAGTTAACTTCTTGGGGCTAGGGTTTCGTCATCTATGAAATGAAGGGTTTGCACCAGGTCCCCCCATTTAAAGCTCTCTTGCCAGGACTTTTCAACCTTATCTGCTAGAATCCCCATTCCAGAAAGAGAGTCTTTTTCAGAGACCATGGAGACCCCAAGTTTATGTGAACGAAAGTGATTCCTTTAGTCATCTTCCCACCAACAAGGAAACACCCACGGCGCTCCTCGTAAATTTCCACCGGTCTCAGCTGTGGTGATTCCACTTGTGGCTGAGATTTTTATGCCAATGAGGCTTTTGCTTCATCTTTCTCTGGGAGCTACAAAAAGGAGGATGTGTGGACGAATAAAAACAGAAACAAATAGCAGCTTCCTACTTTGTCCTGTAGACCAGGTACCCTGATGCCTTCCTGGCATGCAGAGGAGCAAGGAGGAAGCCATGCCCATCGTTGTCCCCTCTAGACACTTTCCTGGCTCCTGTCCAGCCCAGCCCTGCTGCCTGGAAAAATAAGGAAGGGAAGGCAGGAGAGAGATCGAGGAGAAAAACTCCCAGAATCCAGGGCCTGGAGGCTTCAGGGCCCATCTGCAGCCGCTGTGTTTTAGGGCTAGGCCAAGAGCAGCTCCTTTGCTTTCCCAGCTTAACTTACCACATTGGCCCTTTCCTGCCATGATTAATCACGTGACCGCATTTGTGCACATAGCCAGCGGGCTATGTACAGTCTCAGCTGCCTTTAACCCGATGAATGGAGCTCAGGCAACCTGCTTTGAAGCTTTATTCTGCAGTCTGCTAAGAGGATTCCTGGTGGGTTTTGTGCATTCCTTACTTGTCTTCTGTAGGAGACTTCAGAAAACCAGTCCTGAGAAAGGAAAAATTGCAGTTTAAAAAAATTGCACTAAAATAATCAGAAGGAGGATTGTAGTGGTTTAACTTGAAGAAGACTGCTTGTTAAACATGAACAGCAGCACGACTGCCATGTACAGTGGGGCAGGTGGTGCACTGCACAACTCTGTGGGGCACCATTCATCATGATGTAAATGACATCACCGGCATTGTACAAGGCAGTGGCTTTGAGTGGCAGTGATGTTGTAGAGATGAGCAGGCCCTAGTCTTGAAAAAAAGTGACCTTCCTAAGGAGTAGATGTCCTAGCTGTGAGAGAGCCCAGACAGTTGCTTCTTTCCTTCTGAAATCCTCCTGTAAATCTGGACATTAGCATCGGGGTCTAAGAGGAGGTAGGAGATAGGAGAGAACCTGTGGGTTAAGGGCAGAGTTTTGTGACAACATCCATCCAAGGTAGAACTGTCAGGACCTAGGTTGCTTTCTCCAATAACTAGATGTGAATGAATTTTAGGGAGAGCTGGAAAAGCAGCTTCTACAAGCAAACCCGATTCTGGAGGCTTTCGGCAACGCCAAAACAGTGAAGAACGACAACTCCTCACGATTCGTAAGTAGCAAAGCCACGCGGGTTTTCCAGAAAAGGTTTGTTGTCATTTCCTGCCTGGGCTGCAGAGTGTTTGTGTGCGGAGGTGGGAGGGGCATCTGACCCTGGAGAGATGGGCTGTACCTTACAATCTTGCAAGGGCTCCTGCCTCTCACACTCTCATTCATTCATTCATTCATTTACTGTTCACTCAACAAACACTGGTCAGGTGCGGTGGCTCACACCTGTAATCCCAGCACTTCGGGAGGCTGAGATGGGAGGATCACTTGAGCCCAGGGGTTCTAGACCAGCCTAGGCAACAAAGTGAGACCCCCCATCTCTATTATTAAAATTTTAAAAATTATTTATTGAGCACGTGCTATGTGCTAGACCCTTACATCCAATACCATTTTATGTAGCAAAACATGAATTGAGTGCCAACTATGTACCAGGCACGCACCTTCTCCAAGAAATATTTAGTAAGTACCTACCCTGTACAATTATTCTGGTAGGCACTTTTACATGTATCACCATTCTCTTTGTTTGTTTCTCATTTGCTGTTTTTATTAAGTGCCTGCTGTATACCAGGCACTGAGCGAGGCTCACAGGATTGTGATGAATAGTTCAGGTATGGTTCCAGCCTTCATGAAGCTGGTTCTTCCAATTGAAGAACAGACAGTGAGTGAGGCAGGGGGTACTAGCTTCCCATGCACACTCCCCCAGGCTCCAAAGCAAAAGATTTTTGCCTGAGCCCAACAGGGGCAGGGAAACTCTGAAAGTGGGTGGTTGACGTTATGTAGACAAAAATGGTTTCATTGTACAAAAGAAGCTGTTGCCTCTCTGTAGGAGGGTCAGAAAGATATTTTAGTAAGAAAAGATGAAAGAAAAATTGCTTCTGCGTTCCAGGAGTAGGGGGTCTCTGAACTGTCGCTCACTGGGATGGGGTCCCGTGAAAGACTTTGCAGAAAGTTCTGCTCTACTGAGCATATTCACATGGTGGTCCCTGACCCTGCGATCCGCAAGGCCCATTTTAGTAACAAACAATTACACAGTGTCTCCTTTCCTTGCCCAAAATTAGAATCATAGATAGTATCACCTCCTACACGGATTAGATGAATACACGTCAGCGTAATGCCCTAACTGTAATATGAAGAAGAAATAACATAAGACAATTTATTTAAAAAGTGTGCATTTCAGGCCCGGCGAGGTGGCTCATGCCTGTAGTCCCAGTACTTTGGGAGACTGAGATGGGCAGGTCACTTGAGCTCAAGAGTTTGAGACCAGCCTAGGCAACATGGAGAAACCCCATCTCTACAAAAATAAATAAATAAATAAATAGAATAAAGTGCATTTCAGCATGTCAGTGCTTGGGCCAGGCCACAGCAACAGAGGACACAGTAAGAAACAGACACTTCGGTCTATCCACTGCGACAGCTACAAATACAAGGAAAAGGGTCAAGTTCAGGCACTGATGATGTTGGGATGGGATTTTCCAGAATGGCAACTGACTCTCAGTGAAGCACTGAACCAAAAAACAATCTTCTCTAGAGTCACACAGATGGGATATTCTTATATTACAACAACATTTTAAACACTTTTTAATGCTTTTATTTAAAAGCATAAAAATCTAGGCTGGGCACAGAGTGGCTCACACCTGTAAACCCAGCACTTTGGGAGGCTGAGGTGGGAAGATCACCTGAGGTCAGGAGTTTGAGACCAGCCTGGCCAACATGGTGAAACCCTGTCTCTATTAAAAATGCAAAACTTAGCTAGGCGTGGTGACACACCCCTGTATTCCCAGCTACTTGGGAGGCTGAGGTGGGAGAATCACTTGAACCTGAGGAGATGGAGGTTGCAGCGAGCCAAAGTCACACCACTGCACTCCAACCTGGGTGACAGAGTGAGACTCCGTCTCAAAAAAAAAAAAAAAGAGAAGAAAAAAGCATAAAAATCTAAAGGCGTAAAGGTTAGGTTCTACATCTAGCTAATTACAAACAGATTTTTACCTCCATGAGTGTCAGGTAAGACATTGCAAGAGTCATAAGGGATATAGACAAGGATTGGCGTCAGAGACTCTCCTGGTCATTGCAGGACTCCCAAAATATCCTTGGCCCCACTGTTCACTAACAACAGTGGCCCCCGCCATCATGTGACAAGCCAAATCTCTTCCACTGATTTCCAAAATCTCCATAGCAGATGTGCCGCCTCCACTGAGAAGCACTGTGTTTGCGTGTTGCAATTCAGTGCAATGTTTCCAGCCCCGTCATAAATGGAAGTATAAGTACAAGACAAATCCCTAAAAACATCCTCCGCTCACTGGTGTCCCTGCCATCTTGAGAAGGAGAGTGAAGAAAGGCGCCTGGGCCTTGCCTGTGACCAGCCAGCTCTCCCTGGCTCCATTTGGGATATGGTCATCCCAAGTCACTCTACCGCATGTTTCCCGATGAGGAAAGTTTAAAGGTTTTGTCAAGGACTGAGCAAGCCTAGGGGATCGTGTCCACACACGCCAACACTTCCCACCACATTATGTCATGGCGGAGGAAATGGATGAAATCCTGTCTCGTCTATTGAGGAAACAGGAAAAGGGTTGATGCCAACAGATGGAAGATTGGATTCCATCCTTGGTTTCATGGCTTAGCTGAGGCAGGTAGATAGGGCCATCTTTGGAGATACTTGTTGAGCCTCTAGGGCCAGGGACATGACCCATTCCTGCCTAAAGGACATCCTACACAGGGCCTGCTTGGGCATTGTGGCCAATGCTACTCACCTGTCCCACAGAGAAGGTTTAATCCACAGTTGGATGATGTGGGTGCAGCTTGTTATGGAGCAGGGTGGGGTTTGGGGAGGGAGTCCTTTCCAGCCCCTGAATATGGGAAAACCTTCCTTCTGCTTAGGGCTCTACCTCTCAGGAGCAATGTCATGTTGGACTTGATCTCTCTTAGTCTTAGTTTTCCCAGCTTTACAATGGGGATAGTGGGCTGGGTGTGGTAGTTTACTCCTGTAATCCCAGCACTTTGGGAGGCTAAGATGGGAGGATCGCTTGAGTGCAGAAATCTGAGACCAACCTGAGCACCATGGTGAGATCCTATCTGTACAAAAACTTTTTAAAATTAGTTGGGTGTGGTGGTGCATGCCTGTAGTCCTAGCTGCTTGGGAGGCTGAGGTCATGGGGAAAAGGGGATTGCTTGAGCCCAGGAGTTCAAGGTTACAGTGAGCTGTGATTTCACCCCTGCACTCCAGCCTGGGTGACAGAGCAAGACCTTGTCTCCGATAAATAAATAATTTTTTAAAAAATAGGGATATCCGGCTGGGCGCGGTGGCTCACGCCTGTAATCCCAGCACTTTGGGAGGCCGAGTTGGGCGGATCACGAGGTCAGAAGATCAAGACCATCCTGGCTAATGCGGTGAAACCCTGTCTCTACTAAAAATACAAAAATAGCCGGGTGTGGTGGTGCACACCTGTAGTTCCAGCTACTCGGGAGGCTGAGGCAGTAGAATGGCATGAACCCGGAGGCAGAGCTTGCATTGAGCTGAGATCGTGCCACTGCCCTCCAGCCTGGGCAACAGAGCGAGACTCCATCTCAAAAAAAAAAAAAAAAAAAAATGGGGATAGCCATGATGGACTATGGTCATTGCAAGAGCCAAATGATATTGATCTGTGAACATGTTTTACACGTTCTGTTGCTGTCAGGCCTGGGGTGGTCTCAGCTCAGCAGATGTTGGTTCTGCCTGATGAGTTGACCCGTGGGGGTTCTGAGTGTTCGCAAGAATGCCCCCCACCCCCCCAACCTCTGTAACATCTCCCTCCTGCTTGCCCACAGCATGGGGTTAAAGGCTGAAGTTGGGCAGCAAAGCCTGAACTGTGTTTTCCTGTTGGCAGGGCAAATTCATCCGCATCAACTTCGACGTCACAGGTTACATCGTGGGAGCCAACATTGAAACCTGTATCCTTTCCCGGAGCCTGGGCCAAACGGGCACCCCTGCCCCCTACCAACCTCCAGCCCAGAGGCTGGGAGAGTCCAGGAGCCACCCCTGTCTTTCCAGCCTCTTAGGTTTCTTCCAGAACAAATCTCCCCTTAACAGCAGGCATTGTGGTGCAGTGGTTATACATGTGTGGACCGGACCCCTGGTTTGAACCCCAAAGAAGCAGTCTAGCCTGCATGTGATGCTCGAATGACCTGTCCCTTAGCTGACTGACCTTGGGCTGGTTACTCCACCAGTCTGTGCCTCATCAGCAAAATGGGGATGATAACGAATGGTACCTGCCTCATAGAAATGTGAGAATAGAGTGAGTGAACTGATATAAAGCTCTGGGCACCATGCAAGGTGCAGAGTAAGGGCTGCCTACGTAGTGTCTCTTGTATGATCTTCACTTCATTCTCACTCAGCCACCGTCCGAGGCCAAATTCTCGACCTGTTATCCTTTTAGAGACTTGGTCTGTGATGGCCTCCACTTCTTAGGTAGGAAATTAATGAAAACAGAGTTTACCCAGAAGAACGCTGATGTCGCGAGGAACGAGTAGAGTGTCTCTTTCATGAATCTGAGTGGTGAAGTGGAGCCAAGTTAGAAATATCTGGACGTGGGGGAACAACCAGGTCTAGAGTTTAGTGACTGATCAGCCTCAGGAGCTTTGCAGGCGGCCCTGGGGCTCAAGGGTGTGGTGTGTTCACAGCTTCCTGCGGACCACGTGCTTGGCAATGAATAGGGCCTGAGGGGCGACTTAGCATCTTTCTGCCTCTGAGGTCTGCTGGCAGCACCCCGTGGTCCCATTTGTCCACGTTATACGCCCTGGATAAGGGGGTGGGTTGTGGAGTGGCCTCCTCTCCACTGCACTTGTCTAAGCTGCGGGGATTTGGGAAAACCACTGAAGCTCTCTCAGTTTTGCCTCAGTAAAATGGGGGTGATTGCACCTACTTTGTGGAGCTGGTGCAGTGATTAAATGAAATAATATGCATAATAGTATGCACAGCCCTTGGTACACGGCGGGGCCCAAAGTGAGCATCTCATAGGTGGTGGCTATTGTGTTACTGTTAATGTTTGGTATGTTTCTACTTTAATCTGCCCAAACCAGCCAGGATTCCTGTCCTGCAGCTGGGAGGGCTGCCAGGCTTCAGTGAGGGCCCTCTTGTCCTGCAGCCTTGCACACACCTCTCAGCAGTTCATTTCCTGTGTTTAGAGCGAGCCCCAGGCATAGCGCTGTCCTTCAGGCCTCAGCCTTCCTTTTAGATCAGTGGTTCTGAAAGTATGTTTCCCAAACCAGCAGCATCAGCATCACTTGGGAGCTCTTTAGAAACACACATCTCAGCCGGGCACGGTGGCTCAAGCCTGTAATCCCAGCACTTTGGGAGGCCGAGGCGGGCAGATCACTTGAGGTCAGGAGTTCGAGACCAGCCTGGCCAATACGGTGAAACCCTGTCTCTACTAAAAATACAAAATTAGCCAGGCGTGGTGGCATGCACCTGTAGTCCCAGCTACTCAGGAGGCTGAGGCAGAAGAATTGCTTGAAGCTGGGAGGCAGAGGTTGCAGTGAGACAAGATTGTACCACTGCACTCCAGCCTGGGTGACAGAGCAAGACTCTGGCTCAAACATATATGTATGTGTGTTCCTGTGTGTGTGTATATGTGTGTATATATTGTGTACAATACGTGTATACACATGTGTGTATACACATACATACACACACACACACACACACACACATATATATATGAAATGCACACCTTAGGCCCTGCCCTAGGTCTGCTGAATCACATGTTGGAGGGTGGAGGCCAGCAAGCTGGGTTTGAATAAGCCCTCTAGGAATTTTGACGCACCATGAGAAAGTCTGAGAATCACTGCTTTCCAGCTAGGACATGGGCTGTGGTAGCCCAGGCACTGCTAGCTGGGTTTAGGACTTGAAGAAGACAAGGTCTGCTCATCCAGCCCCATCATCCCGCAGCATCACACTTACTGCTGTGGCAATCCACCCAGTACAGTAGCCCAGCCTCCTAGTCGTCCTCTTCCATCACCCCAGACCCTGGGATCTCCATGCCACCCTCACCTGCCCTCCCCTGCCCTCCCCTCTGCTGTCCCTCCTGCCACCCTCCATGGCAGAGCAGCTCTCCTGAAATTAATTAGTATAGCGTGTTTACGGTCTCTCTCCCCTCCGTCCCATGAGACCCCACTCTTGGAACAGAGGGCATAGAAGACAGCTTTGCCACTTGCTAGCTGTATGATCTTGAGAAAGGACCTCCCTTCTCTGAACCTCAGTTTCTCCTTCATGAAAACACCAATAATAGTTGCACTTACTTCCTAGCATACTTGGTGAGGCTTCAGTGAGACAATTTATATCAATCATTTCACGTAGGAATGAATCATAAATCATAGAGGGTGTCATTATTTGCATTCTGTAATGTCTGAAGACAGCTCATTTTAAAGAAGATTTGCTGGTGATGGCTGTTAGGGGAACATCTCATTATCATTACCATCTTCCTGGGGTCTTTCTATGCTTTGTCTTTTCACTCTATTCCCCTCCCTTCTTTCTGCGTCTGAGGTCTGCTGGCAGCACCCAGTGGTTCCATTTGTCCGCAGGGGCGATGGTCAAAGTTAGACATTACCGATCCCTGGGGCAGAACTGGAAAGTCATCCCGTGTGAATTGGGTATGATAGAGATGGATGTGGAAGACCGGAAGAACACCCACAGTATCCCCAGAATCCCTAACTCCCTCCAAACCAGATCTGCTGGAAAAATCACGGGCAATTCGCCAAGCCAGAGACGAGAGGACATTCCACATCTTTTATTACATGATTGCTGGAGCCAAGGAGAAGATGAAAAGTAAGTGACTAGCAATGACATGTGATTGGAAGGCTTGAGCCTTCCCTTTCATCAGAATCCAAGGTTAAGAGATTGGCTATTAAAACAGTCTCAGATCCTGCCAGAAAGGACCATGTCTGTGAGTGACAGATGAGCAGTTCTTCATCTCCTCCCAGTGAGTGAGTGTGGCTTTTGTTCAGTCATTCTCATTTACTGACCGCCTACTATGTGACATAGTAGCCATCAACTCCAATTAGACATTAGATCATTAATGACTCATGTCTAATTAGACCAGAGAGCTTCAAGTCCAACTAGACACAGTCTGTGCCTTCAAGGAAAGGGAGAAAGACATTTGCTTTACTTGCCAATTTATAAAACCTGCAAGTATAAAAGATGCATTCTGGTTTTATAAGGAATTTGCAGGGCCAGCGGGGCTAAACACTTTTCATTATACATGTTTTGCCAGTGACTTTGTAGAACAGGGGTCAAAACTTTTTCTGTAAAAGGCCAGATAATAAATCTTTAGGCTTTGCAGGCCACACAGCTTCTGTCACAGCTATTCAACTCTGCCATTGTAACGCAAAAGCAGCCACAGGCAACACATACACCAATGAGCACAGGCAACACATAAACTGAAGTATGCAGGCAACACGTAAACCAGTGAGTGCAGATGTGTCACTGTGTTACAATAAAACTTTATTTACAAAAACAGGCAGTGTACAGAAGTTTGCCGACCTCTATTGTAGGGAAAAATGTTTTTTATGTAAATACAATACACTGTACACCAGACTCCAGTAGGAAGTTACAAGTTCAGTTCTGGACATGCAGTTGTTTACTAACTCCTAAAAATATATACAAATCACATAGCTTAAAAAAGGAGTGGATCAGTCACTACCTGTCCGTAGTAGAGTCTACATATTAGTAATAAGTTTTAAGTCTGAAATTTTATGGGAATAATACAGACTTTGCTTCCCATCTCTTTTGTGGCCCGAGTGTAGTTATTTTGGTTAAGACAGTTACCAAAAGGATCTGTGTGAGCTCAGAACTTCGCTGTGTCGGAGTGGATTGCAGAGCTCAGCTACGGGGGTGGCATTTTCCATTATTTAAATTTCCAGGGTGGGGCGCAGTGGTTCATGCCTGTAATCCCACACTTTGGGAGGCAGAGGCAGGCGGATTACCTAAGGTCAGGAGTTTGAGACCAGCTTGGCCAAGATAGTGAAACCCTGTCTCCCCAAAAATACAAAAATTAGCCAGGTGTGGTGACTGGCGCCTGTAATCCCAGCTACTCGGGAGGCTGAGGCAGGAGAATTGCTTGAACCTAGAAGGTGGAGGTTGCAGTGAGCTGAGATTGCACCACTGCACTCCAGCCTGGGTGACAGAGTGAGACTCTGTCTCAAAAAAATAAAAATAAGTTTCCTTAATGGCTGGCTTTCTGGAACATAGGATATGAGGTGGAGCACTTTTTGGTAAAGGGGGCATGCTGAATGTATGTTATATACCAGCAAACATGGTACATTAGCAGTTACAGTGCAGGACCCTGTGGAATGGGCCAGGGAAAAATATTGACATTCCTCTTCCTTTTATTTGGCACCAAAGAAAACAGTTTGGTTGTCCGGTAACTTGGGTTCCAGTTTTGTGCTTTGCCTCTGGTCTTCCAGAAATGGGCAAGTATAGGACTCACAACTAAATTCCCGGGGGCCCTTTGTATTCTAGATGATAGAACTGGAAAGATGTTGGGCTTGTAGACAGAACCAAATATTCCTAAAAGCATCCAAACTCGGGTTAATGAAGTCTTGGCAAAGACCTCAATCCTCGTGACTTGAATCAGGCATTTCAAGTTAATCCAAAAGTTTGAGTTAACTGGTGTCTTGGGTCAATTTAACCTCGAGTTTATCAAGCAGCTTCCAAGTGACTTGACCCATAAAAGGCCTTTATTTTAAAAGAAAAATATCTTGCTGACGTCTTTCCAAAAGTATAACCAAATCCAACCTAATTAAAGATTGATCTGGAAGAGGATCTTTGATGTATTGGAGGGTATAATAAAAGCAAATGGTGCAGGAGAAAGAAAGGCAATTATAAAGCTGAGGGTCGGGGAGAAGCCGAACAACAACAAAGGAAATGTAATCATAGGATACAGTTTTACAGAGAATATCTAATTAATGTCATAATATAAACAGGGAGTTGGCAAACTGTTTTCACTAAAGGATCAGTAGTAAACGTTTTAGACTTTAAGGACCAGATGGCCTCTGTTGCAACTACTAGCTCTGTTGCCTAGTGAGAAAGCAGCCGTGAGAAATAAACAAGGACATCAGAGTGGCTGTGTTGCAATAAAACTTTATTTACACAAACAACAGGGGACCGGATTTGCCAATCCATGATATAAGCCTTATGTATTAATTCAACTAAAAATAGCTGGAGGTGGCTGGGCACGGTGGCTCACACCTGTAATCCCAGCACTTTGGGAAGCTGAGGCGGGTGGATCACCTGATGTCAGGAGTTTGAGACTAGCCTAGCCAACATGGTGAAATCCCATCTCTACTAAAAATACAACAAATTAGCTAGGTGTGTTGGTGGGTGCCTGTAATCCCAGCTACTCGAGAGGCAGGAGAATTGCTTAAACC